CCACCTCTCTCCCAGTCTTGTGCGCATCACCAACGTACCCGAGCATCGGTGAGGGTGTCCAGGCTCCCCTCCCGCCTCTTCGGCGCTACTCGCCTCAGCCGAAGCAGGGCTTGGTGCTTTTTCGAGGCACGTGTTGAGGCGGACCCCGCAGCCGCGGACAGCCAATAAGCGGGGAGCGCGGCAAGCGGGGTGGGCAGGTGCAGCCTACGTAAAGGAAGGGCGTCCAGGCCCCCTTCCCTTTCCTTCCCGTTTGTCCCAGGGACGCCGAGCCGTGGCCGGCTGCGCGGCAGTCAGTTCGTGCGTTTAGGGCAAACGCCGCCGGCACTGCGAAAATCGCGTCTTCTGCGCGCGAGTCGCCGCGCTCCGATCCACCGCGTGCAGTTGCGCCTCCTGAGCGGAACGCACGGAAAGGCAGGAAGAAGGTTGTCGCCCAAGACAGCTTCCTGATCGCGCGCACTTCAGTTAAGCAGATAAGGCTCTCAAGCGAGGGAACTATGTGCATTTATTTATTTCATGAAACTCCGCCAAGTTTTGTTAGATTCAGAGCTCCTTGGCTGTAGTAGCAAATTACCAGCATTGTAGGCTTAAGAGATTATTTTTGACTATGTAACTTGAATCATAGTTACATGAGTTTATAAACTGAGAGAGGGGAAAAATACAATGAAATGCAGGATGGCGTAATGCAACCTGTACAGATTACTTGGGCCCCATTACAGTGAAATTCTTCTCAGTAAATGTTGATTATATTGCAAGTCTCTTACAATAAAACCTCAGAAATTAAAAGCTGTGGAACCTGTTGTGTGAAGGAGCAAACCTTCATTTGATTTAGACAAATTAGTAACTCTTCAAATCATGACTAGAAAGATTGGGCCCTCCTTCTTCCTGTCTTTCAAATTGATTCCTCCTTCATGTGGACAGCCAAAAGAAACCAAAGGATCACTGAACAAATCAATCCTCACTGGAGACACAAACTCTCCTATCCTACACATTATGCGAAGATTTAGTTCTCTAGAGAAGGCGCTAATGCTGGGAAAGGCGGAAGGAAATAGAAGATGACCAGTAGCAAGGTGGATGGACTCAGTGGTGATGGGTGCCTTGTTGGAAGACCAGGTTAGGGACAGATCATCATGGAGAAACTATATGTGATTGCTAGGAGTCAAAAACAACTTGATGGTGCATCATGTTTACTGGTTTGCCTTGTCAGATGTTTTAATGTCCAAATTGATACTTTGAACTGTGTTTTGTCTTCAAACTGTGATTTAAAAGCATAGTTGGGGGGTTGGCTTCTAGAATAGCTTGGAGGCAATTTGAATTAGCATCACTGTAAAATACATTTACATAGACGTGAAGAAGGATGAGGGGTTGGCCTCAGAGAGGGAGAAGATAAACACTGGTCTGAGGATCCAAAACATTGTGTGAAGGATTGGCAACAAGAGACCTGAATGAGGTCATTCTGTTGGTGGTGCTTTGAAGATGCAGACGGTTTCCTATTTAGTAATTAAAATGTAGTGGGACACTGTGAAAAGAAGTAGAAAAAGATAACTAGCAATTAGTTTAGAGCATGATTCAATCATTTATTTTACTGTGGCATGTTAAAGAAGAACATCAGATAAAGAACTGCTCCGTTAAAGGTACTGACACCATCAAATGTAACAGGACTATTGTGGCACTATAAATAGGGTCCTCAGAATAGATCCGATTGTCCCATTTCAAAATGTATGATACCAAAAAGAACAAACATAGTTATTAAGAGGTTAGAGTATTTTTCTTAGGAAAATAGCTAAGGTGTTTGGCACGTTCTGGGTGAGACAACTAAAGTAGAATACATTCCATGTATGGAAAGTGTACAGTTATAAATTACCAACAAACTCAATTGTATATTACATTCCCTTTATTTAAGAATGGGTATATATCTTGGTTTTTAAGATCCAGTATCTAATTTGTTAATCACTATCTCTAACAATTGAATTGGAGATAATCACCTTTACAAATTGGTTCAGATTTAGAAGCCCAATGATCTGGCTTTCTTTCTTCACTCACTGAGCTTGTCGTGGCTGCCATGCAAAGTGGGTCTATTCCCACCTGCAAGTTTTTAGAGAGATATCCTTTGGTGGTTTTTTATGTTTTGCTTTTAAACATTGACACTGGTTTTTTTTAATGTATATGACCTGCAAAGGTGATAATAAAAATACAGATTTTAAAAAGTCTAATAACTATCAGATTAATATAGTTACTTAAAAACCACATAACAATCTCATTGCCTTATTTGGGGGGGGGGAGGGGTGTATGGTAAAGCAACTGTAGGAAAGAAATAAAATACAGTAAGACCAAACTGGAGGAAATCCACAACAAGCAGGATTCATAGTTTACCCCATTCAGCTAAGGAACTGCTGTTGGTGCAGGCAGAGCGTTTCATTTTAAATCCAGGCTGCTGGACTTTATACTGACAATTACAACAGGGGCAGGAGCAACATTTATAAAGGGTTTAGATTAGCTGATTCGAACTAATCTTATACAAGTAATAAACACAAAATAAATCTGTACAGTGGTTAATTCATGCAGCAAGTGAGATATTATGTAGGAAGCTAAAGAGATCAGTTTTTGGCACTGGGCATTTTCCTCCTTCATACCAGCGCAAAATTATTGTTTATACTTTATAATAGCTGTATGGTAACAGCTAGAATTTTAAAGTGTGCTGTAGCACATAAACTGGGCATCATAAGTCTCTGGATTCAGACATGCATGGCATCTATGCTGCTTTACTGTTTAATGCCTGCATTGTGATTAGCACCTTCTGAATTGAAACAGAAGCAATCGCGTACACTTCTGTTTCTCTCAACATTGCTGCCTTCTTACCTAACCCTGCAGAGCAGCACGTACTTTCCTAGCTGTTTCTACAAATTCTACAGGCTTGATCATGAGCCTGAACTGTTCTTTGGATACCTATAGCATCATTTTATTTTGCTGTCTGCTGGCAGAAAGATTTTGCCTTCTCCCTCTAAACAAAATGGTGAGGATTCAAGCGGGGAAGCTGCAGTGTTTGGTACTGTCAGGAGAGGAAACAGCTATTTGGAGGAAAAAATAAAGCATGTTCTCAATCTTGTGATGCAGGAGGTGCTAATTGCAATGCAGATATCAAAGTCTGAACCACTTCATGTTTCACCATCAAGGATTTTGACACAAATTCATAGCTGGAGAATTTTATTTTTACTGCCAGCCAGCTCTTATGTGTGTGTAACGTTAACTTAGTTATAGATGATAACATTATTCCACCAGAAAGCTGTCTTACTAAAACAGTGTATATATTTCCCCTTTTGTTAATATAATTGAAAAAGGAACAACTACCTTCATTTAATCAGGGACAGTTCAGTCTCAGCTTTTGAAAACTACCTGGACCCAACTAGATGATTCTCTCCACAACACTAGGTTGCCGCTGCCTTTTTCCAGAATGTTTTCTCAATTTCCCAGTGTAGTCTAGAGCCTTGATATTTTGTGGTACTCTTCCATCCAAGAACTGAGCAGTTCTGATCCTCCTTAGCTTTTTGAGATCAGCCAAGGTCACTTAGGACACCTATTTGCTTACATCCTCATGTATTTATAGCTAGTCTGGTGGCCTTTCATTTCCTTCTCTAAGAAATGTTGCAAGACGATCAGCAGTCTAGATTCTCTTTTCACTTGGCTTCCTCTATTCCCTCGCTGGTTTTGCAACTTCTGTATGTTACTTCGCTGGGCAGAGGAACCCTTCCTGGAGATATGGCCAATCTGAAGCTCTAAAGCTAAATATGACCCCCAGCCACTTATTTGCTGGCCTTGGCGTACTCTCTGACTATACTTGCTAAAGATCAATATGGATTCCCATCATTTTGAGACAGGAACAGCATGAAAATAGTACAGTAGTGTCAGCCCTAAAATAGATGAAACACAATTTTTAAAACAGCACCCCTACTAAACCAGAGCATCCTGGCCCTTCTACTTACATGATATAGCTCAATTCAGTTTACATCATTATCATACAGTAGCCCTGACCCTTCAAATAAGTTAAACACGGTCTTTGCCATGAAAAATGTTGCCTGCCATGAATATCAGCATCCCAACATCACATGCTGTAGTTGGTCTTCTGCCGTTTTCCAGCACAGGAACAAGCAGGCGAAACACCATTTTGCATTTGCTTGAGAAATGCACTTTCGTACTAGAACACAGTGCTGGGTTGATAGAGGGCTGTGATGGATCACAGGGAGGAAAACATGGAAGTCTTAAGACAAACACTCTAGGAAGCTGGTGAATGAAAGGCAAACTCTTATGGAGGGAAGCATCAAAACTTTCTTTCACAGCATCTATTTCGTTATTGTGCTAATAGTGACCTTTTTCTTGAAAAAGGCAAATACATAATTGCACTGCATGACAAATGGTAAGTAATTCTGATGAAAATGAAGATGATGATGATATAACTAAAGCACTGTTTAAAAAAGCATATAGTGCAGTTTGCTTGGAAAGGCAGAGCAGGAGAGAGGATAGGCTAGATAGTAAAAATTGCAAGAAAAAGTGCCCATGAATGCTATTTTTAGCTATAGTTGTGATCTTCTGACTACTTAATGTTCTGGCTGGCATGAACTAATGCAACCTTCTCCCACTTTCACCTCTCTAGATATACTAAACTAGAACTCTCATTGGATGATGGAAGCTGTAGTCCAACCCATGTAGAAGACATCAGGTGGGAAGTGATGGATATCATTGGCATCCCACTATAAATAAAAGTAGAAATTGATGATGGCTGTTACAGTGACAAAATCTCAGTGCAATTAGTTACTGTACTGTTTTAGCTGCAGGCTATATTTTATCTTTGTTGCTAAGGTCCCTTATTTAGGATGAGCTCTTGTCTTCACAAAGCCATTTCTATCCCCCCCCTCCCGCCCCGGATTTGAACAAAGGCACAGTTGAGGACGATGAAATAACCAGCACTTCTTGGGTTGTTCAACAAAAAGTC